GCAACCCTTGGTGTGTGGGCAGAAATCTCTGGATTAGGATAAGGTGATCTCAGTGGCCTGGCTGGCTGTGTGTCCCTCTCAAGAGCTGAAGACACACTGCCAGGCCACTCCTGCATCAGCCTCTAGGAAAACAGACCTAGTCCTCCTTCCAGTGAGCAGGCTGGCTGGAGCCGGCAGTCCCAGCTCTGAGGATGAGAAAGGCCCAAAGAAAGCAGGAGGAAGTCACACCAATTAGTATGCGCTACACAGCTTTTTTGCAAAATGAATATAAAACACTTGTGCTTTCTTTTTGTGTGAGAGAAAGACGGGAGGAAAGAGAGGGAGGGAGGGAGGTTACAAGAAAGCAATATTCTGCAGGAGCAGGAGTGCCTGCCATTACCATGGCGACAGGTGGGGGTGGGGAAGGCCCATTAGCTGGCCCCTGGTTTCGGAGTGGAGTGAGCCGGCCATCAGTGGAGTGAAAGGGTCAGGGTGGTTGGCATCTGGATGTGGGCAAAATCTCACAAAGCAGCTCTCAGGAGGCCTCAGGGTGAGGGGAGAGGGCTTCGTGCCTTCCACGGAGGTGATTTTACACCAGCAAAGGGCATATTTCAACATGGGAGGAGGGTCAGTGTCTGGGTGGGGCCATCACAGGCTGTGGCCCCACTGCATTCCAGCAGGGAAAGCCTTGTCTCTCTGGGATGGTGGCTGCTCCCCCTCTTCTCTGACTGGTCCACCCAGGCATTCACTGTCCCAACATTTGGTCGCAGACCAGTCCTAAGAGATCTCAGTGTGGGAGGCTCCCTGCTCCCACACTCCCCAGGTGCTGTGGACGATTCTTTTCATTCCAGGAACAGCTGGGGACTGGACACCAGCTTTGCACGTCAAGTGTCTAGGCCGGGAGGTCCGTTCTCACCTCCTACCAAGATTCCTGAACATAAAGTCCCAGGGCGAGGCACTCAGCCTAAACTAAAGAAATACTTGCCGACCTGCAGCGTTGGGCAGGAAATGGAAGACAGATGGCTCTGAGCAGCTTCTGCCAAGGGGGGCGGAAGGAGAGGCCACCTACTTCACTCTACCCACTTATCCTTAAGAGACTTTGTCAAAGGTTCACAGAGGCCACTGGGCCGCTGATGAGGTCCTAGAAGTCAACTGACTCAGCTCCTGAAGAGGGAACCCTTCTTGTGTTGACAGGAAATCCCCAAGCTGGGCCCTCTCCAGGCCTGGCCAGGAAGAAGCTACAAGAATGTTTCCAAGGGACACGCTTGATACTGGCAGGGAGAGGTGAATTCAGGCTAAAGGCCTTGGAGGCTGAGGTCTGGCCAGTGCAGGCCACTGCCGAAGGCTATCTGATGCCTCTGCCTGGAGCAGCCAGGTGGCAGGGCCTTGCCTGAGATCGGGGTCAGGTCCAGCTGTTCCTTCCTGTGAAGTGGAGCTGGTGTTAAGTGCACAGGCCCCGAGGGCCGGCATGCATAGAAAACCTCAGGGTCTTCTGCTTCCTTCCACGCAGGAGCCTGGCCCCTTCCTTCGCGAGGGGTGCAGCCTGGCTGGCCAGGCCTCTTTGGTCCCTGACCACGTATGGGATGGCTTCATCAGCCAGAGAGCTCACCCTAGGAAGCCGGGCTGCTGTGCCCAGGAAGGGTTCCTTGGGGGAGCCAAGGGAAGGACAGCAAGGCTCCCATTGCTGAGAGCATGGAAGAAGGCACTGGCACCAGCTGACACCAGGGTCAGAGGCCTCCGCCTTGGACGGGGAGAGTAACCGTGAGCTGCAGCAGGCGGCAATCGGGCCCGGGCCCTGGCCTGGGAAAGGGGTGGCCTTCTGAGAAATGCCCCAGTCTGCACCGGCTCACAGCAGCCCTGCCTTCCGCAACAAGGAAAGCGTTGCCTAAAGAACACTTAGATCTGGTGGCGGGAAAGCAGCACTACTTAGGCCTAGACCTATTTTATTTCCCACTGAGAAAACCACCCTGATAGAAAATGGTTTGTCTTGGTAAAGCAAACAAAACAAAACAAAACAAAACAATCGTAAATCTTAGTGTTGTGCGACTTTGAACACAAGCCCCTGGGGATGAGGACGGTGTTCTCTGTTTAGACATTTTGCCACCTTTCCTTCAGTGCCCAGCCCTGTGCCACATATGCCGGCAGCTGTGCCTAACGCTGACTGTTAGGTTCCATTGATGAATAGTGACAGCACTGTGTGGTTCTGGCAGCTGAGGATACTCTAGCGGCCATTCCTCTTAGGGTAAAGGAAAAGAAAGGCCAGCCTCGGGTAAGACGGTGGAGACCAGATCCCTGACCTTTGCCTTCTCTCCCACCTGCTAAGGTCTCCCCGCCACTTCCAGCTGATTCCAGCCATTGCTCACTTGCATCATCCTGGGCCTTGACCCAGAGGGTAAGTTCTCAGGGTTATAAATTCTCCCCTTGAGCTGGGCAGGGATGGGGTGGTGCCTGCTGCACTGAAGGCAGCACGAGTCGTGCCCACATACCTGCTATGGCTCTGTTACCAGGTGATGAGCCCAGGGGCCATGGCAGCCAGGAGAGGGCTCCTGCCTCCCTCCAGGGCCCTGCTTCATTCTGGTTTACTTGCAAGCCACGCACAGCCCCTGAGCTAATATGCAGGCTCTACCCTAGAGGCCTAGCTTCCAATCTGCTGTGGAAGGGCCCAGTGCAGCAGGGCAGGCCCCAGATGTGGGGTACACCCAAGGAGATGAGCTCCTCTTCCAGCCAACCTCTTATTTGTTCACTTTCTCAGATGTTTCTGAGCACCTACTGTGGGCTGGATGGACCATCCTTACAGAGCTCCCACCTAATGGGCCATCATGGAGAGGGATCAGGGATAGGAGAAGCTCTGAGTGATGTGGAGACATAAAGACACAGAGGGAACCTGGCGTAGCCTTGATGCGCAGGAGTTGGGGGGGAGAGGGGGTGTGTGTGTGTGTCAGACAGATGGACAGGGGTGCGTGTGTGTGTGTGTGTGTGTGTGTGTGTGACAGACAGACAGATGGACAGATAAACTAGGCTTCACAGAGCACCTAAGTGAGATCTGGCCCAAGTTATTTAACTTCCCCCGTTTCCTCTTAGGGGAAATGGGAAAAACAATGTGACCTACCCGTGAAGGTTGTCTGATTGTGAAGATGAACTAAGATCATTCACAGGGGCCAAGCACAGGGTCTGGAACAGAGCAGGCCAATGTGAAATGCTAGGTCTCGTTAGCAGTGGGGGGACTGGCCCAGTCCTCTGTATCTCTGGGCTCACCTGGGTTCACTCAAGCTCCTGCCCAGTCTGCGGGCCTTGTGACTTGCCAACAGGGAGGTGCCTGGGAAATCCGGCCGATTCAGCCTTGGCCATCTCCAGAGGAGGAAAAATCAACATATGACTTGGATGAAATTTTGACTTCTGAGGACACCAGGAATGCTAAGTGGGGTGAAAACCAGGGGCCCTGGCTTGGCTGCCACACTTAGGGCTGCGTAGAGAGGGCCCCAGAGCTGAGAGCTGGGGGCATATGGCCTGCAGTCTCCAAGCAAGATCTCATGCTGGTCGGTATCTGGGCTCCCAATGAGCGATGTGCACCAAACCCACCAGGGAGCATGTGAAAAATGCCAGCCCCTGGGCACCCAGGCTCTGCTTGAGGGACAATTGAGGAAGGCCGGGAATGGGGCCCAAGCAGCTGGATTTTAGAAGCTCCAGGGAATTGTGGTGACAGTCCTGGTTTCAATGGCTCTGCTGTGTGGCTTGAGATGGGGCTGGATAGTGTGCTCAACCCTGCAGGCAACTTGCCCTACAGCTTGGCTCCAGGAAGAGTGAGCAAGAGGGCCCAACCCTGCCTCAGGGAAAGGCCGGCTACACTGGTTCCCCTTGGCGGGTTTCCTCCTACCGCCAGAGGCACAGCCTCTGGGAGAGCAGCCTACCTTTCTTCCACGCTTCTCAGCCCAACCTCTGCCTTCACCAGGAGCCAGGCAGTACCCTCCTGGCCCCCAATCCACTCACAGCAGTTACTGTGCCCAGCTCTGGGTCCTCACTGGTCCATCTGCCCAGGGCAAGGAATGTGGAGAGGTGAATACTCAAACCCTCCTGGCACAGGGCCCTGTCTTCTCTGGAGGGAGGTGGCGAGGCTGTCCGTAGTTACTGTGGGTCCCCCTGTGCTCTGGGGTGGCTGCTGTGGGCACTGAAATCACAAGGTGGGAAAACCTGGAAGAATGAAGGGTGGGCAGAGGCCTGCTTGGTGGATACAGTTCTCAGACTGCTATCTTGCTGTTCCCCTCGCTTTCCTAGCAACGATTTGCTGTCAAGCCTCCTCTGAGAAGACCACAGTCCTCCCTGAATCCCCAGTCGTGGTTGCTGGTACCTCTGCTGGGGGGCTGTCCCTGAGGAAGAAGGCCCAGGGCCGTGACTGTAGTCTAGATGTTTCCCTGGTTGATGGTGGCTCTTCTCCCTGGCTCATGGCTCCCTCTTGCTTGCTCTCAGAAGCCCCCAGAAAAAGGTGCAGGGACAGCCACGGGGAGAGGTGATAGAGGGCAGTGTCCCCTGCCCTCGGCAAGGCCCCAGGAGGGTGCCTCAGGAAGAGGGTCCCCGGGCCATCAGTGCCCGCCCAGCACCTCTTCCCCTGCAGGCTGGGCTCTTGGCAAGAGGAGTCAAGTTCTCTGGGCACCGACACGGTACCCCTCTGTTCTCTAGGCTGAGGTTGTACCTTAGTGCGTGATCTGAGTTTAAAGACAGTCACAGAATTGAGGTGGGGGTGGAAGGGTGTTTTTGTTTTGGAGAGTGGATGGAATGAAAATTGGAGGGAAGTGAACAGTGAGGCACAAACAGGAGGAAAAACAAGTCCTGTTCTTATGGAAGAATGTCCGCTTCTAAGCAGTCAGCATTAGTATTCCAGGGAGCGGAGTCAGGACCACACAGATTCAGGGCTGGAAGGGACCTCAGACCATCCAGTCCAACCCCAGCACTCCGGAAAGAAAACTGAAGTGAGGTGGTGGTGTGTGACCTGTCTGGTCCTGTGGAGAGGTGGGCAGCGAGGGGGCAGAGGCCGGCCCTCCTGATCCACACCCGGGCGGCTCCCACACCACCCTGCAGCAGGCCTGGCCACTGGCCTCAGCCCTTGCGGGAGAAGACCAGCCAGGTGGAAGATGGAGAGGGCTTCTGAACTGAGCCCTGGAGGGGAGCTGGGGGCCCCCATGTCAGTGAGCAGCCAGGGACAGCTACGGGGCCCGAGAAGGGGCAGGGGAATGAGGTCAAAGCCAAACGCGCAGAGGGAGAAGGGGCATCTAGAACTGAAGGTCAGCCAAGGACAAAACCCCATTGGGTCAGCGGAGGGCCCGGATAATGCAGTGCCTCCACCCTGGGCTGGGTCCCTGCTCTGCAGTGAGGTGACTCCTTGTGTGGGATGCTCTGGAATCAGATCTGACTGCCAATTCTGGCTGCTGGCACTGTGACCCTGGGCAAGTGATCCTCCTCACACCTGGGCCTAACAGATCATTCCTGGACCACCTTGTGGATTCATAAAGACACAGATGCAACACGCTCAGAAGAGGGCACAAAGCCTGCAGACTTCAGCCTGTACCCTCTCTTCCTCGCATCTCCTCCCACTGATGTGAGGGGTTGACACACAACCCACCATGGTTCCTGAAGAGAGCTGCAGTGGAGGTGGTGGAGGGTAAGCTGCCCCCAAATGAAGGGGCCTCTACTGCAGTGGAAGCCCCATTTTGGGGTGGATGCTGAGGGATGGCAGTAGCAGGCCCTCCCTCTGGCGGATGGAAGAGAGTAGGCCCAGCCACCTTGGAACCTAGGGCACTCTGCCTGCCCCCAGATTCCTCACAGCACAGCTCTGGGGTTTGGGGCTTCCCCTAGGTGGGACCCCAGGCCAAAGCCCCCGTGGTCAAGAATTAAATTCTTTTAAAGCAAGCAGATGAGCCCTGGGACCCAGCTGGCTGACCCGCCAGATCATGGTGACAAGGACTGCTTGGGAAGGATAAGGTAAGGGAGGACTTTTGTGGACCGGGTGGCATGAGGCTGGGGAACGGAAGAGGCACGATGGGGTAACACACAGGGCTACTCCTGCCTTGAGGGAGGAAGCCAGGCAGCCTCCCCTCAGCATTGCTCTGCTCTGGGCTGGGGCTGCAGGCAGGTGTGGCACTGCCGGCCCAAGCTGGGCTGCTCCTCTGGGCACCTAGGCGAGCCCCAAGATTTGCTTCTCTTTCTGGCGAGTCGACTTGGCCCCAGTGAGCGCTCTCCTTTCAGATCTGAGAACCTCCAGAGTTTTTCTGATCCGTTTCTCCTAGGACGAGCACCATGTAAACAAATGAAATCTCCCTTTCCTCCCGTACCAAAGCACATCACACCTTAAAACACAGTCAAGGGCACAGCAGGGACTGCTTCCTAGTACCTACCCCGCTGGTGAGGGGCTGAGAGGCCTGTGACCAAGGAGGGCTGAATAGGGCATTTGCCACCAAAGAGAAGAGCCCCTCAAGGAGCCCTAATCCTCTCCCCTCAGAACTCAGCAGAGGCTGGAACAGCCCTTGGGGTTCTATCCCATGGGTCAGGCACTTCTGGTACCTGTCCTCAGTCCAGGTACCACGGGGTCAGGAAGGTACCGGGCCACCTTGGACTGAGTACACTGCTGTACCCATGGTGTGTGTACCTTAAGCAATGCACAGATGCTTCTCAGCTGCCCTTAAATCACTCCCTTTCCTCCTGAGTCGTGGCTGTGCCACAGTGCGTGTGACGGCTGGTCCATGTTTCTCATGCAGTGAGTGAGTTCCCGAACTAGAAACGCTACCACTGCCATGAAAAATGTCCTCGGAATCCTATTTTCCAAATTTTCCAGAAAGGTGGTTCACATTTCTTTTCTCTGCATCTACACCAGTCACATGAGCCACAAACTCCCATCAGCAATGTTTCTGTTACTTTGAAGCTAAGGGAGGGAGAAGAGGCGAGTTCTTCCTGGGTTGAGACCCTCTTCTCCAAAGTGTTAAGAACACCCCGGCTTTGAGATGCTGGGAAGACTCTGGGGACACTCTCTCTGTAGGCCCAGCTGCAAAGAACACAGTTCATGCTGGTGACTGGGCCCAGCAGGGCATGCCTTCTGGACCTCAAAGGTTTTGTTTCTGAGTGAGAGCTGTGGCTGTGGAAGCCCCGACGCAGGTCCCCTGCTGACGACGCCACTTCTCCTCTCCCTGGACCCAGCGCGGCCAGCTGGAGCCCTTCCGCCTGCAAGTCGGGGAAGTGGCGCTATGAAGTCGCTGACAATGGGGCTCTGATGAGTGAGGCTTGTGCTGAATGCAGCCTCGCTCCTGCTCTGGGTGGCCCCAGCCCAGGAGTGCTGCGGAGGCTGGAGAAAGGAGGACAGGAGGGGAGAAAAATGCACAGGAGGCCAGTCCTGCGGCCCACTGTGTCCTCGTCTGCCTTTCTGTGACCTCAAAATGCAACTCAAGTCCCTTGAACACCTCTGAGGTCCTCCGGCCTCTAGAGATAGGCAGGAAAACAGAGCAGCTTCTGTCCTGGCTTTTACTGCTGAAGCGGAGCCAGAGAGGACTCGGAGCAGAGGTGGAGTCCGTCACCCTGATCTCAATGTGCATCTCCAGGCCCTTCCCAGAAACGACCTCCTGCATCACAGGAGCTATTGCTTATCGTGGGTTTACGTGTGCCGGGTCCTGAGCTGAGCATCTGACATTCATGATCTAATTTCATCCTTCTAACAAACTTGGGAGTAGCCTTGCATTATTACTTTGTTTACGAATAAGGAACCTAAAGCTTAGAGAGGCTAGGTTCCCAACCATTAAGAGCCAGAGCCCAGGGTGGCCTCCTAGACTTCCCGAACCCAAAGCCTGCGCTCTTAACCGCAGGCCTCAGTGTCACCTGAAGACATGTCAGTGTCAGGGAAGGACGAACCAGGACGGAAGTCATTCAAAATCACAACAGAATGACAAAACACTCAGAGTATTCATCAGGAGTGGATAAAACCTACAAAAAAGGCTCTCAAGCATTACCGAAGGACATCCAGATGGCTCACAGGACTAGGAAGAGCCTGGCTCCTGGGTGGGGGAGTTCATCACAGTGAGAGGTCAAGTTTCCCAAACAAACTTTTAATGACAGAAAGGTCATTACGAGGGGCTGAGATCTGGGTAGGGGCTTTATACTTTCTCTTTAAACACGTCTATGAGGCAGGTGTAGACATCATTAGCCCCCTTTCACAGGCCCAGGGAGGTGAAACTCCTTGCCCACGCTCCTGGCAAGGAAGGTTTAGAGCTGGGATTCAAGGCGAGGTCAGCTGTGTCCGGGATGCCCACGTTCACTCAGAGGGGAATAGATATCCTTCCAGCATTTTCCTGAGACTGTGATCACCCTGAGACTTCTAAATGAGGGCTGGGAGACGGTGTGCCTAGGAGTTGGGGACCACCTGAGATCTCACCATCAGGACCATGGAGAAGACCCCCATCCCATGGATATTCACAGGTGGGGCTATGGCCATCTTGCAGACAGAACTCACTCAGGCAGCATGGCGGCTGCCTGGCTGCCAGACAGACGACCATTGGCATCTTCTGGGCGGGGGAAGCAGCAGCCCCACCTCCCAAACAGGGACCCAGCAGGATGCTGTGAGCATGCGCCCTGCAGTCTGCACTGTGGAAATCAGGGTCACGTTTTCACTTAAAAAACAATTGGATCTGTAGCTACGGGAGGATTTCTATACCAGTGCCAGGAATATTAATTTGACACCTGCAAATTCTTTTACACAAAACGGATTTTCAGATAATGTCTGCAAGGAGCAGGCGGTACTGAGGAAACAGCCACTTATCTTGAATAATGGAAAGGCAGAGACAACTGAGGATGCCAGAGGGCGGAGACTAATGAGGTGTCACTCAGTGGAACTGGGGAACAATGGCAGACGAGACACCCCAGTGAGGCCATGCGCCTGTGGGACTGAGAGAGATGGCCAGCTGAGTCTCTGAGGCTCTGCTGCGCCCATGCCAGCTCTTGCATCACCAACACCTGAGCGCACTGTCCCGACGGCAGTGGCTCTCAGTGAGAGGGAAGAGCATGTGGGTTTATCACAACTGCCCCGGGAGAGCAAGACATTTGCAACACAGATGACAAAGCACATGTCCCAAATATACAAAGAGCTGCAACAGATCAATAAGAAAAGCAGATGAAGGATATGGGGGTTGAAGGGGGAGCTTTTCCAAAATACACATACTGGCTGGTCATGGTAGCTCATGCCTGTAATCCCAGCACTTTGGGAGACCAAGGTGGGCAGATCACTTGAGGTCAGGAGTTCAAGACCAGCCTGGCCAACATGGTGAAAGCTCATCTCTACTAAATAAACAAAAAGTTAGCTGGGTATGGCGGTGCATGTCTGTAAACCTAGCTTCTTGTCTGTAATCCTGGCTGAGGCAGGAGGATTGCTTGAACCCAGGAGGTGGAGGCTGCAGTGAGCAGACATCGCACCATTGCACTCCAGCCTGGGTGGTAGAGCGAGATTCCATCTCAAAACTCCCCCACCAAAGAACAAAAATATATACCCCTCTCTACGCTTAAGAACTGGAACAAGAGAAAAAGACTACAAAACCTTCCTCTGGCGAAATCACGAGGAAATGAGGGAGATACAACCACACACCAGCTCCCGGTCCGGCTGCTGATGTGGGGGCTGGGGGCACACTGGCTGAGACTCCGGCCGGTGAGGAAGCGACTAAGGGGCCGGGCTTTAGTGCCAAACAGATCTGGCTCTGGGTTTGGACTCTACCACCTCCTGGCTGTGTGCAGGTCACGGGACCCCCTCAGGACTTAAGTTTTCTGAACTGCAAAATGGAAGTAAGAGGACTCCCCACACAGAGCCATCATGAGGGTTCTACAGACACAGGTGAAGGGTCCAGTGTGGTTCCTAACACGGTAATGACTTTCTACAATTAAGAATCTTCCACTACAACCAGTGCTGCAGGGCTGCCGAGCTGGATGTGCAAGCCTTCCCAGGGAGCACTGAGGTTCACTTCCGTGAGTGAGGACTCTGGTGGGAGGGGACCTGTCTGTCTATGTTCCTGCTTGACCAAATGGGCTTTCATAATCTTGAATCCCAGAGAGCTCCAATTCAAGACCAGGGCTGTGTATGGAAATATTTGAAAAATCCCGAGAGCACTTTCTAGATATCCTAGAAAGGAAATTTCAGGAGAAGATGGGCTTTGTCTTGCTCATGGCTGTGTTCCCATTGTCAAACACACAGCACACCCTCAGGCTCAGCAAAGACAAAGCAGGGGACACTGAGGAATGTGATTCTGGAAAGGAACCAGGACGTGGCAGAATCAGGACTCACCGCTGATGATTAAGGTCCCCAAATCCCTTCTCTAGAGAGAAGGGGAAGCAGGGGCTCTTCACTGCCGTTATGGTTCCTCTAAATGTCTTCAACTATCCCCCAGAGCAGCTTCCATGCTCTCCCCAGTGCAGGCCCACAAGACGTGCCCCAAAGCCCTGACAACATTTGGCACTTCAGCAAATCGAGTTTCCACAGCCGAAGCCTGAACAGCGCTGTTTAATGGACTGCATCTCCGCCCGCTCCCTTTAAATGCACACGCACACAAAAACCAATTTCCAGCACAGAAAGCTGGATGGGATTAAACAACTCAATTTAAAGGACTGAAAACTCAGCTGCTTCCAGCGAAGTCCTAGGGAAGGAACCAATCAGCAAAGTTCTGCTCTTCCTTTTTGTATTGAAATGAGGGATGTGACTGTGCAGTGAGTCACTCCCAACTCCAGGCAGAACAGGCCACGTCCACCTGGGCCTCGCAGCGCAGGGGGTGATGCAGGAAGAGGGGGGTGTATGTGTGTGTGCATGGGGGCGGGGGGGTAGGCAGGAGAGGCCAAGGGCACACTCACAGACCATCTGTTTTGGATTTTTCTGGTAATGCAGAAAACCTGAGGATCTACAGGCTGATACCTGCCTGTCCCGTTTCTCTCTTCAGCCCAGGATCAGGAAAGTAAATTCAGGCTGCAGGACAGCTGCCTGGGCTCCCCGACAAGTTTGACATCAGCCCAGGGAACACTGAGGAGCCTCACTCCATGGGGAATGGTGAGCCACAGCAACGCTCCCTTCCCCCAACCCAGCCTGGTCCACTCTCTGCAGTGTGGGCAGGTCTGTTGATTCACAAGCCCGCTGCCTCATGGAGATACAGCTCTACCTGCAGCTCACAGTGCCTGGGAGCTCGGAAGAGGAAAGTGGGTTGAGGCTTGGCTTAGACCGTCAGCATCTGATACACAGCCTGAAGGGCGGGTATGGACGGAGGAATGGGATGCTGCCGTGCAATGAGCATGCCCGGCTGCAAATCCTGCCGCTTGGCTGGGAGGCAGGGAGCCCCTCACCCAGAGGACAGGAGGACCCAAGTGTCCCTTCCACTTCCCAGGCCAGCCTCTGCACTCTGGCTCTTATGGAGGGCTCCCTCCTGCTGCCTGGGATCTGGGTCAGCCTCTCCCTCTGCAGCAGCAGCTCTTGGTGGCCCCCAAAAGGCAAAGCTTGAGTCCAGTTTCAAACTAGAGATCACGACGGAGTCCAGCTGAAATGAGTAACACAACCAGTGCTAACTGAGCGTGCTGCAGGGGCCCGGCATGGTGCTTAGCATTTTATGTGGATCATTTTGCTCTTACATCCCCCGTGGTTACTACTCCCATTGATCAGAGGAAAACTGATGCTGAGATGTAGAGATACTAAATGTCTTGCCTTTGGGCAGCCCGACTCCAAGACCAACCTCCCCACCTGCCCTCTGCCACCTCCCTCACTGACACCCTGCCCCAGGTGCTTCAGAAGGGTCTCCAGTGAGTTTTTTTTTTTTTTTTTTTTTGGAGACAGGGTCTCACTTTGTCACCCAAGCTGGAGTGCAACGTTACAATCTCACTGCAACCTCTGCCTCCCGGGTTCAAGCAATTCTCCCGCCTCAACCTCCCGAATAGCTGGGAGTACGGGCACATACCACCATGCTTGGCTAATTTTTGTATTTTTAGTAGAGATGAGGTTTCACCATGCTGGCCACGCTGGTCTTGAACTCCTGGCCTCCAGTGATCCACCCACTTGGGCCTCCCAGAGTGCTGGGATTACAAGCGTGAGCCACTGAGCCCGGCCCCAAAGTGAGTCTTAAACACAGCTTTACCTCTAGGAAAGGATGCACGGTACCAAAATAGGCATATCTCAGCTCTAAGGGCCCATCAGTCACTAACAAGGGGAGGCAGGGCAGCCAATGTTCCATAAGGACGGGTGGCAGTGGTGACTTACCTCGTCTGACTCGTCCGATAATGTCTGCAGTAGGATGGGGAAGAGGCTGTCTGTGTGCCGGAACATCTAGAGAGACAGAAGGAGGGGTGTCTGTGAGCATACCCCTCGCCCTGGAACTGCGCTCGGTGCAGTGTCCCACGGGTCTGCATGGACCACTTCCCTCCTTGACCCACCGAAGGCTCCTCGTAGCACGTGTCACTTCTCTGATGGCCAGGGTTTCTCTCGAAGTGCTATGACAAAAATCCTATCAACCACAGGCAGGCCCCAGAAAACCATGGTGGACCCAGAAGAGGCTCCCTGGCTTGGAAGGGCCCAGGGCTCACCTTCCGAGGAGTTTTGATGTAGAGGTGGTAGAGCCACTTGAGAACTGCAATCCTAGTCATCATCCCAATGGCTGTGTCACTGAGGTGGCAGTTTAGAACCTGGACGATCCCGTCGAGGTGAAGGGTCACTGGAGCTCTTTCAGTGCTGTGGTAAGACCGGGAGGGAGAGCAGAGGTGAAGCCCGTGATAGCCCTCTCCCATGGAGTCACGGCACCACCTGGGCCTGCACATCCTGTACCACACACTGCTAACCACTGTTCTGGGAAGGGCGGTCGGGGGCCAGGGATGACCCGATCCCACACATCCTTGCTGGTCTGCTACCAGCCCTGCCCAGCCCAGCCCAGAGGCTTGAAGGGGAGCTTCTCTCTCTCCCTTTCCAAAGGCGTTTGGAGCTTGACGCTGGGCTGGAACCATGATAACCATGTCTGGGGGAGAAGGATGGATCTCCTGGGCTCCCACTCACTTCCTTTTTCTCCAGCACTAGCCTGGCTTGTACAGGAGGAGAAACCCTCTCCAAGTCACTGAGCTGATCTGACCAGGCTCAGGCCATGACGTTTAGACCTTTTCTTGATAACACAAAATCACCAGATCCAGACCGTATGAGGGAAGGTCCCAATAACAACTGTTGACCTCTGCCAGGCCCTTCACTGGCCACCTGACGGGTGTTTCTCGAGTGAGGTCAGGGATTGAGGCTGGTCACTGTGCCTTGTCACTGCACCCTGCTCCAGGGCACTGAGCACATCTGGCCTAGGAGAGACACCTTGAGAGTTGCCTGTGAGGCCAAAATGAGCTCCTTTGGGTTGGGGAAGTGGTAACAGAGCCTTTACCTATGAGAAACTGATATTGCTCAGGACGTATTTTTGTTCTGGTGGGCACAGGAAGCCCCCTGGCTTCTGTGGACTGAAGCCTTGCTGGTCCTCAAAGCCCCGCTAAGCAGCCTGTGGGACGGTGGGTGCTGCTGGGAGCTAAGAGTTTGTTTTCCATCCAAAGCACTGCTCCCTGGCACAGGCTGGATTTTCAAGGGTGGGGACATCACGGGTAGAAAATGTCAGGATGTCGGGGAGGCGCTCCCTTCCTACCGACGCATTACTTCTCAAACGGAGCCTACAGGTGCAGGCCAGGAGCTGCATTTCCCGAGGACCTGGGCCAGGCAGATCAGTCCCCTGCCAGTACAAAATGGTCTTCTGTGGCATTTCTAGGCTGCTCAATTATTCATTTGAATCAGGAACTGATGGCTGTGCTTTCCTCACTCGCCTGCAGCCTCTCTGAAGCTCATTTGATGTGAATCCCTAAAGGGCACGATTCTGCGCTCTGTAATTGCTAAGAGGAATTGCTATTTAATATGGTTTGATTATCCCCATGGTGCATGTTCCAGGGGCGAGGGTGGGTACATCTATCCTCTGGTGGCCAGGAGCTCTGGGCATGTGATACAGCCACAGAGCCCAGAACTGAGCCTCTGGGTGGGTAACCACTGTGATCTCCCTAGCGGCCACATGGCTGCAAGTTCCTAGTGTCTTCTGAGGATACCAAAACACTTAAATCTTTGCTAGCCTGAGACAGACGGGGACTACACAGGCAGAGGAGTCCAGGGTGGTTTTAAACACTGGATCCACCAATCTCTTAATCAGTTTCTCTCAAGTGCACTGTCCAGCAGAAATACAACAAGAGCCACAGATGTAATTTTATATCTACTTTTAAATTAAAAAGGAGAAAGAAAAAAGTGAAATAAATTGTAATGCTATGTTTTAACTGACCCAATGTATCCTAAATATTAGCATCTCAACATGTAATCAATATAATGTCAATATAAATATTTCCAACCAAATACTTTATATTCTATTCTGTGCCCTAAGCTTTTGGGACCTGCTGGGCATTTCATGGTTATGGTGCACCTTGGTCCAGAGCAGCCACCAGGTGCTCAGTAGCCACGGGGCTGCCGCGCAGGTCACACGGCAGTCCACGCCAGGGCTTTCCGAGTGTTTTCTTGTCATCTCTGGCAGCCAGCATTTACTGTTTTATCTCCCCGTCCCTCCTTTGCCCACCCTGGCTTGCCTCCTGCAGAGCTCCTTCCCTTGCGTTCCGTTCCATATGTTTCTTGGGCCGGCAAAATCCCCTGGCTAGAGAAGCTCGTGTCCTGGCGGTGGAAGAGATGCCTCCCTGCAGCCCAGGGCCTTGTGCAAAGCAGGTGCACAGAAGCCACCCCCACCCCCAACCTGGTCTTTCCTGATCCTGTGAGCCCTGATGTCTGTAGTGAGCCCCTCTCCAGCAGGAGCCACAGGGACACGTAGGCTGCCAGGGTCCAGGGTGTCACAAGGACCCTGTGCCTGGCAAATCACTGCGACAAGCTTAGCTGAAACAGCCCCCAGGGAGGAAGGCCTTGTTTTTCCTTGTTTCCCTGGGAGACTCAGGACTGCCCTGGAGCTGCTGGTGAGGAGGAAGGCAGTGCCGTGACCAGGTCCCCTACTCTACCGGCATGGGGAAGGCCAAGTGGTATGTCTGCCCCCGGGGGAATAACAGCGCTGATAATAATGACAGCCATGATGGTTCTGAAAAGTGAACGCTCTGCTGGGCACTTTCCTACACAGCCTCATGTCACTCCTTAAAAAGCCCTATGACCTAAGGCATGCCACTTCCATTTTGGAGAAGAGGGAACTGAAGCACATGGATATGAAGTAACCCGTCCAAGGTTACACAGCCAGGGATGGTGGGGCTGGTAGTCTCGATATGATCAGTCTGACTCCAGAATAATCTCACCCGCAACACAGCTCAGACTCCTGACCAGGATAGCAGGCTCAGAGAGGGTCCCTGGTGGCATCACCTCCACTGTCTCCTGGCGGGGGCAGCAGAATGGCAGCTCCTGTGTGGACCGGCCCCTCCAAGCCCAGGGGATACCTGGCAGCTCCAGGAGTCAGTGGAAGGAGGTGAGCACACATTTTTCAGTGTCTTTTCTTGTCAGAAGGGGAGACAGGGGCTCGCATCTGAAATCCCAGCACTTTGGGAGGCTGAGGCAGGATGACTTGAGGCCGTAAGTTCGAGACCCAGCCTGGGCAACAAAGCAAGACCCTGCCTCTATTAAAATTTTTAAAAATTAGCTGGATGTGGTGACACATTCTTAGGGTCCCAGCCACTTGGGAGGCTGAGGTGGGAGGATCACCTGAGCCCAGACAGTTGAGGCTATGGTGAGCTATGATTATGTCACTGTACTCCAGTCTGGGTGACACAGCAAGACCCTGTCTCAAAAGAAAGAAAAAGAAGGAGAGACGGAGGACATGGGGGAAGCCTGATGCTCCCACCTGTGCAGGGCACGCTCAGAACACAAAAGGGTCCAGACACCAGGCTGGACAGCCCCCCTGCAAGGGGTGCTGTGTCACGGCCAAAGAATGGCAGTATTTCAGGGAGCCGGTATGTGAACTGGCAGCATTTTTCGTATTCACATTCTCTGACTAGCAAACACATGAACACAGCGAACCTGAAGATATGGGCATCTTCAGGCTGCTGCTGAGGTGGTCCTGCTGTATCCAACCCAGAACCTCATCACTGAAAGGGAACTCACGGGCAGGTAACCCAACCCGTCAAGGCACGGATGAGCAAGCCCCAGGTCCAGAGGCAGTATGAGACTTGTCTGAGGCCATGAGGCCATATACCAAGCACCCATTCCCTGGGCTGGAGACACTCCCCCGCCCGGGGCCCCTCTTCCCATGCCTGGCTGGAGATGGAGGTCATGGGAAGCAGGTGGACCCTAGAGCACCAGGGAAACTGATCTTAGTGCCTGGGAAAGGGAGAGTCAAGATCCCAGCTGCTGTCAGCTCCCAGCTGCTCTGCTGGGCAGGGTTGGCTGCCACTGCCAAGCTCTGTGCATGCTCAGCAGGGTAACTGGGGCTCTGGGACCCTGCACCCTACCTAGAGGGGCATACTGCATGATGTGCTCAGCTTGCCAGCTGGCGGGCTGCAGCCTGAGGTGTGGCACCCTGCTGTCCCGGCTTACCTTACTCATCAAGAACAGAGGGAGCTCACTCACAGTTTAAAATACATTTCAGCATCAGTTCCAAAAAGTCTAGACGAGTCACTCCTGGGGGCTTCTGAGTTATTTCAAGGTGTCTACAAAATTCCATTTTCACGGAGCATTTTCTCATAAAGCATCTTACAATGAATGTCTTACACATACACCTACTATAGTTTTCAAATGCATGGCACTTCTATGGCTATTAAAATACAGACTTACTGAATAATGCTTCTGATACTACCAATAAATAATAACAAGTTCCAGTTGTTCTCTCTGGGAGACAGCACTTCATTTCTGTCTAACTTTTTACGGCCTTCAGGTTACATCTCTAATCAAACTAGAAGAGAGGTAAATCTAAAAACAGAGTTGCTTCTGAAAGTGAAGTTGCTTTTTCAAATATAGATAATTATAAATTTTTTCAATCAGCAGATGCTAAAAGCTGGGAAATACTGATTTCTAGAACTTTCTGCCTGCTTATGCATAGGGCAGCCAGCTACCCCAGGAGAACTGGTGTCACTGAAAACATCATGACCCCTGGCACCTGCCTGGGCGTCAGAGGGGGGACTGTTCATATAACACCTGTTTGAGAACTCCTGCATCAAATGAGTTAGGGAGGCCAACTGCAAAACTTCTGGAATTCTCCAACTGCAACTAATAAAATTAAATGCATGGGCTCTGGAGTCAGGCTGATCTAGCTTGAATTCCAATTTGGCTACTAATTAGTGAGTGACTTTGGGCAAGAAGTGAACCTCTCTGGGTCTGTTTCCTCTTTTGTAAGATGGGAATAACAAGGTTCTTGTAATAACAACTGTAGCTAAAATGTGTAAAGTGCTTCCTGTGGACCAGGCACCATGCTATGTTTTTTACATGCTTAAAACACTTTTTAAAATGATTATTATTGAGACAGGGTCTTGCTCTGTCACCCAGGCTAGAGTAAGGGTCTTGCTCTGTCACCCAGGCTGGAGTAAGGGTCTTGCTCTGTCACCCAGGCTGGAGTAAGGGTCTTGCTCTGTCACCCAGGCTGGAATGCCGTGGTGCAATCCTGGCTCACCGCAGCCCTGGGCTCCAGGGCTCGACTGATCCTCCCACCTCAGCCTCCTGAGAAGCCGAACTACAGGAATGTGCCACCATATCCAGCTCATTTTTGTATGTTTTGTAGAAATGGGTTTTTGCTATGCTGCCCTGGGCTAGTCTCTGACTGCTGGGGTCAAGCAACCAGCCCGCCTTGGCCTCCCAAAGTGCTGGGATTACAAGCGTGAGCCACCACGCCTGGCTATTCTTTACATACTTTAACTCACTGAAGAGCCATATCCCTTTGAGGTCAGTACTATCATTACACTGAGTTGAAAGATGAGCAAACTGAGGCGGGGGAAATCAAGCTACTTGCCCAAGGCCACAGCCAGGCATTCTGGAGTTAGGGCATGGATCCAGGCAGCTGGCTCCAGCACTCAGAGAAGTCACGAGAGAGAGCACACCCAGGGAAAACATTTCTTTCTCTTAACCCTTTCCTCAGCTGCAAGCATGCTTCCTCCATCCTGGTTCCTTCACTCTCCACCCCTCCCTGGGGGGTCCAATTTTCAACCACCCATGTATTTCCCCTGCTCTGGAGGGTGGAGGAACCCAGACCTAAGCCACCTCGTCACCCCCTGCTTTTCCAGGTGGCTTTCTTCTGTGGCGAAGCCAGGGACCACTAGGAACTTCTCCAGCATCACAGGAAGAGGGGAGATGAGGGAGGGGGAAGAGGGAGACGTCTGCTCTTGGGTTTAGCCAGTTAAATCTCCCTGTGTTTTGGTCCAAGTGAGAAATCTTTTATGAAAAGATCTGGGATGCAAGGATTGCTTCCATGGTGATCCTTGAACTCCTGAAAGTGCATTCAGAATTTCATGTGGATGTGTATTTTGTGTGTGTGTGTGTGTGTGTGTGTGTGTGTGTGTGTGTGTGTGTGACGGAGTCTTGCTCTGTTACCCAGGCTAGAGTGCAGTGGCATGATCTCGGTTCACTGAAACCTCTGCCTCCCCAGTTCAAGCAATTCTCCTGCTTCAGCTTCTCAAGTAGATGGGACTACAGGTAAGTGCCACCACACCCAGCTATTTTTTGCTTTTCTTTTTTGCTGTGTTGGCCAGGCTGATTTCAAACTCCTGACCTCAGGTAATCCACCTGCCTTGGCCTCCCAAAGTGTGGGACTACAGGTGTGAGGCACTGCACCCAGCTGCAGATGTGCCTATTTTTGGAGGAGGGTCCATAGCTTTCATGAGGCTCTCCAAAGGTCAATGGCCACTCACAGGCACATGACTGCCAGCACCATGGCAGTTTTCTGCCAGGCGGGAATGTCTTTCTGCCGTGGGAGGAGTCTCCATTCCGGCTACCACCACGGGCAGACCTGAACTAAGTAAACTTGTGACCTCACGTGGTGCCCTGGGCAAGCAGTGTACCTGAAGAATCACAGGGTGGAGTGACCCTGCACAATCCCACTGTGTCCAAGCTCAGTCTCATTGTGTCATTACCACCTGTGGGAAAAAGGTGGTGGGCTGTGGCCCGAGCGTCTTGGCTCTGGTTTTACAACTCTGAAGGCGCCCACCTCTTCAGCACAGCTAGTGACGAAGACTATGCAGCTGCCACGCAGGGACCTCTGTCACCAGGAGCCAGGAGGCACTAAATCATCTGTTGTTTTTCAGGTAGGACGGTTTGGATTTTAGGTAGGATTTGGCATCGGCTCCTGGATGACAGGTATAAACCAAAACCCTGGTTCCAGTCTAGCGGTTCCTGGCCTTAGCATAAGAACTGAGGGATCCTGTAGGCCTGTCCCAGCCACCACAGGGCAGTCTCTCCAACGAGACAGCGGACAGCTGTGCCCTCTCCGCATCTCATGGGTTAAGCCCTACCTCTGCCTTCTCCTAGATCTTCCCTAACCTCCCCCTCAATCCCCACAACCCAGATTACAGAGACAAGTCTACAACAGGCTTTTGGCTGCCAGAGGGAGGATCCTGCGGTTCCCACTTGTGACGCTGTCTCCACAGTCTCCAGTACAAAAGTTAAGCCCTCTGCACGAGGACTGATGTCAGTCCCCGAATGTCTGTCCGACTGCTCCCTGCGTTGCAGGAACCAGTACCTGAGCATCCCCGCTTCTCCTGGGATGCTCAGAGTTACCTGGAACAGAGTTCCTGACTGCCCCAACCACACCCCCTCTTTCTTCCAGCCCCAGTGCACAAATGACATCAAGACAGCCAGGGTCTGGCTCACACCAAAATTCTAGAAGGCAGTCTTTCCCTCACCTCTCTCCTGCCTACCCCACCCCACCCATCAGCTAGTCCTGTCAGTTCTACCTTCAACACGGAGCTCAAACCCACCCAACTTTCTCCACATGCTGCCCCCTCCCCAGCCTGAGCCCCCATCCCCTTTGATGGGGACAACGGTAGTGGCTTCCTGGTGAGTCCGTGTCTACCCAAGCCCCTCTGAGATCCACTGTCCACAGAGCGGCCCCTGTTCTTCCCTCCCTTCTCATCCCTGCCATGAAAGTAATACTACTAACCCCACAGGACTCAGACAAAGCCAAACGATCCAACACAAAGGTTAAGCACCATGCTGGGCCCTGGATGCCTCGATGTGTCCCCTGGCGTGAGCTGTTATTCGCAGCCACTCAGCGCCTGGGCTCGGGCACCATGGCCCTCCTTTTCCACTAATTTCACCCCTCACAGCAATTGCTCCCCTTTCCAGTAACTTCCTGCCTCCGTCTCTGTCTCGCCACTAGAGTAACTAAAGGTCAAGGACACTTTCCGGGCGGACTCTCATCTTGGAGCCTGCAGCAGTGAGCGTGGGCAGGTGCCCTGCAATTCGTGACAACTAAGTGAAAATGAGAATGGGCAACGTTCACTGATCTGCTCCACCAACGTGGGGCTGTCTAGGGGCACGCTGTATACTCAGCTGTACCTGCGTGCTTGGAAAACATGCTTGGGGTGCTGAGGGAGGAGGAGTTCACAAATGACATCAATGGGGGAGGGGTCCTAGGGGTCTGGGGAGGAGAGCCTTTTGGGGCAGAGTCCACATTTTCTCTTCATGAGTGACTGGCTCTCCCAGGGCCCAGGTTCACTGTCCAGCTCAGAGGGAAGAAACCCCTGTATGAGACCCGCCATCCACTCTAGCCCCAGATGTGCCAGTGCCACCCAAAGAAAAAGTGACATGGGGCAAGTCCAGGAGACTCAGACCAGGGCAGAACTGTGATAGTGCTCTCCCATGGGAGTCCCATCACCTTGCAGGGCGTCTGGAGGGAGCAGCAAAGAATAGAATTATTTTGCGCTTGGCCTGCACTGCCCCCATGTGGAAGACTGCGCCATTGCAGCTGACCTAGGGGCACAGGAGAGGACAGTTCCTGGGGCCTGTGATTTAGTCTTAATCTCAGAGATGATTAATGACTGCCCACACTCCAGGCTGTCCTTGAACAGGCTTCCCCTTGTCAGTCTTGTTGGCCCCACATCATCCTGGACAAACAGAAGGTGCTGAGTCAAGGCACCTGTAAGTGTCTCACTTTTATTATCACAACTTGCATTTATTGACCTTCAATAGCTTAATTTTTTTTAAAAAGTATTTAAAAATAGGCAAGAACAATCCATTTTCTTCTATTCCTTTTTTTTTTTTTTTTAGACATGATCTTACTCTGTCACTCAGACTGGAGTGCAGTGGCATGATCTTGGCTCACTTCAACCTCAGCCCACCTCAGGCTCAAGTGATCCTCCCACCTCTGCCTCACTAAGTAGCTGGGACCATAGGCATGTGCCACCATGCCCAGCTAATCTTTCGTATTTTTAGTAGAAACAGGGTCTCACCATGTGGCCCAGGCTGGCCTTGAGTTCCTGAACTCAAGCGATCTGTCTGCCTCAACCTCCTGAAGTGCTGGGTTAGAGGCGTGAGCCACCACACCCGGCCCCCAGTGGCTTCTAACCCACCCTATCTATCCATCAGCCTGGATGGGGTGGGCTTGTTCAGTGTCCTTCAGAATCCCTCATCAAGTAGCTTCTTTGTGTATGATGGTGTCCCACAAGAAGCGCTGTGAGCAGTGTTTGCCTTGGGTCATCACTGTAGTCTCCTGCCTCCAGGAAAGATCAGTTTCCACAAACCCTCTGGCTGAAACAAACCACTTACCTGGCTGCAGTGAAGACACTGAGGCCGCAACTGAAGCTGGAGTCACAGGAAACATCTGGACCTCCTGGGAGAGGAAGAGGAACAAGCAGTCATGAAAAGCTGTCAGGTCTCTTGAATAAACAAGACCCCTGTGACAAGCGCACACACAACTCTCCAGTGCCCCAAACCTTGATTTGGGCTCTTCAAAAGGACCATGGCTCTGGAGCCCTGAGGATCCAATGCCCAGTCATACTCCAAAGCTCTTGGGATAGACCCCACGCTTGTAAGTTTGAAGGCACAGTGATCTCCCAAGGAGGGGACACCAGTGCTGAACACATCCAGCCAATCTCGGAGGGGATCACGGGCCTGAGGGGAATGAATATTTAAAATGAAAGATACTACCGTCAGGAAAATGCAAATGAAAACTACAAGATATTACTGGACACCCATCAGGATGGCTAAAAGATAGATAATTACAAGTGTTGGTGAGGCTATGGAGAAACCGGAACCCTCGTACATCACTGGTGGGAAAGTAAAATGATGCGAGCTGCTTTGGACAACAGTCTGGCCATTCCTCAAAAGGCTAAACACAGAGTCAACACATGACTCAGCAGTTCCATTCCTAGGTATATACCAAAGAGAAATGAAAACTTATGGCCACATGAAACCTGGTACATCAGTTGTGTTCACATCAGCATTATCTACAATAGCCAAAAAGTAGAAGCAACCCTAATGTCTATCAGGCGAATGAATGGATAAATAAGGTGTGGTATAGCCACACAATGGACTATGATTTGGCAATAAAAAAGAATGAAGTACTGATGTGTATGCCACAACATGAATGAACTTTAAAAGCATTGTGTTAGCTGAAAGAAGCCAATCACAAAAGACTACGTATTGTATGATTCCCTTTCTCGAGTGTTTAGAACAGGCAAACCTATGGAGAGATAAAGTAGCCTGGTGGTTGCCTAGGACTGGAGGAGACAGGGGAGTAGGGTATAATGGCTAAGAGATTCTTTCAAGGGCACTGAAAATATTGTAAAATTGCTTGTGGTGATGGTTACACAACCCTGTGAATCTACAGAAGTCACTTAATTGTACACTTGATGCTGGGTGGATTGTGTGGTATATGAATTCTATCTCAATAAAGGGCTTAAAAACTGACTTTGGAGAAAGGACTGTGACTGCATTGTGCCCGAGACTTCCTCCAAGGGGCCAAATACATGTCATCAGTATTTAACTTACTGTCATACAACCCAGGGTAGAAAAGCATCTTTCTGGCATCAACTATTTATTTTTTTGCCGTTAAGGAATAACCTTTAAATTACAACCTTTTTCTTTTGGCATCTAATCAAATTTCTTAAAGAGCCAAGATGTTCCAGATCTGGAAGGCTGCCAGTAGGATCCCATTCGCCTTCAGCCCGTTTGGGCCCTGGCCATGGCTCTCACTGCACTGAGGAGGGAGGAGGGGGCTGGCAGTCTGCAGTGTTTGGGGTGGGAAGTGCTCTGGGAAAAAATTCCATACTCTGATTTTTTTTAGTTGTGAAATAATTTTAGATGCATAGAAATGATGCAAAAAGAGTAGAGAATTCTTTGTATATCCTTCAGGCAGCAATCACTAACGCTAATATTGTACATACCCATAGTTCAATTATCTTTTTTTTTTTTTTTTGAGACAGTCTCAGCTGTGTTGCCCAGGCTGGAGTACAGAGGCACAACCTTGGTTCACGGCAATCTCTGCCTCCTGGGCTCAAGAGATTGAGCCCACCTCAGCCTCCAGGGTAGCTGGGACTATAGGCATGTACCATCACGTCTGGATATATTTTTTTTTTTTGTTGTATTTTCACTAGAGATGGAGTTCTGTCATGTTATCCAGGCTGTTTTCAAACTCCTGGGTTCATCTGATCTGACTATCTCAGCCTCCCAAAGTGCTGGGATTACAGGCATGAGCCACCACACCCGGCCCCATAGTTCAGTGATTAAACCCACAAGTTTAACATCAATTCAGTAACATTAACTGAACAGTTATCCTAATTTGAACATCACAAGATTTTCCATTCCTGGCCTTTTGTTCCAGGATCTCGCATTTAGCTAAACTGGCTTTTTTGTCTCCTCCAATCCGTGACAGCCCCTTAATCTGTGTGTCTTTCAAAAACTTGACATTTTTAAAGCCCTGGTCACTTACTCTGTAGAACTGTCTCCCCTTGTGGGTTGGTCTCATGCTTTTTCATGAATAGGGAGTTACACATCTTTGGAGTAATGTCACGAAGTGTCGCGCCTCAGTGCACCCTATCGGGGGCGCGTGTTGTCTGCTGGCCTCATTATTAGTGACGTTAACCTCATCGCCTGATGAAGACAGTGTCTGCTGGGTTTCTCTCCTGTAAGGCTACTGTTTTTCTGTTTGTAGTTAATAAATATCTTGGGGAGGATACTTGAGATTAGACAAATATTCTGTTCCCTCAAACACGTCCCCAGTGATGAACTGCGGCACTCAGACCTGCAAACGTTACCGTGGAATTTGCCTTACAGTGATTCCCTCCCTCCCTCCCTTCTTTCCCTCCTTCCTCTTTTTTGACACAGTTTGACTCTGTTGTCCAGGATGGAGTACTACAACGGTGTGATCTCGGCTCACTGCAACCTCCGTCTCCCAGGTTCAAATGATTCTCACGCCTAAGACTCCCAACCAGTTGAAATTATAGTCAAGTGCCACCATGTCTGGCTATTTTTTTTTCTTTTTTGGACAGAGTGTCACTCTGTCGTCAGGACAGAGTGTAGTGGCAAGATCTCAGCTAGCTGTAACCTCTGCCTCCCGGGTTCAAGTGATTATCCAATTCTCCTGCCTCAGCCTCCTGAGTAGGATTACAGGTGCACACCATCACATCTAGCTAATTTTTGTATTTTTAGTAGAGACAGGGTTTCACTATGTTGGCCAGGATGGTCTTCATTTGCTGACCTTGTGATCTACCCGCTTTAGCCTCCCAAAGTGCTGGGATTACAGGTGTGAGCCACTGCACCCAGCCAATTTTGTTTTATTAGTAAAGATGGGGTTTCGCCACGTTAGTCAGGCTGGTGTTGAACTCCTGACCTCAAGTGATCCACCCACCTCAGCCTCTAAAAGTGCTGGGATTACAGGCCTGAGTCGCCATGCCCAGAGCTGTCCCTTCTTCACCATTAGTTAATTCAATTATTTATGTCATTATGGAATCCTGAATATTGATATTATTCCATGGGTCATAAACCAAAACGATCATTAATTGTATCAATTGGCCTCTTAAAAGTGTTAAATTATACAAGCAAAATATATCCTCATTCTAAAAATTTTCAAACACAAAGCACAACCTCTTTCTTTCCTGAATCTTTAGTCTTACTTTTCTCTACCTGTAGGTCATACTCCTCTGGGTAGGTAAGTACCCCGAGCTGGCTTGCACTGTCCTACTTCTTATTTTGTACAAATAAATGGGCTCACAGTGTATCTTCTGCAACTTGTGTCTTTCACTCTGTCCTGTGGCTTAGAGCAGTGCTATTCTAGGTGTGGGCCATATACCTTTTCTCCTAGTAAAGAGGGGCCTTTGTTTCCATGTCTGTACTGCCGCCTGTCCCTGTAGACCCAGGGCACAGTTTGGAGGGGACAGGGGCAGCTGTAGCAGGGGGCTGGGCTTGCTGAGATGCTCGTCCTCCCAGTGCCAAGGCCCAGGGAGCCCGGTGTCTGACTGCTGGACCAGGGCCTGGAGAAAGGTGAGGAGGGAAAGCTTGGGAAAGCTGGGCAGGACAGACTGGAACAGCAGCCAGGACTCCGTGCCCCTGGAAGGCATCTTTTAGAAATACCCACATTTATAGATGAAATCATGTGGCGTCAGAAATGGGCTTCAAATTAATTCAGATTGTTTCCTGATTTTCACTCTTACATCTCTCCTGTGCTTCCACGCAGGGTGGGACTGCTGAGGGGAAGGACTGCGCACATTTTTTTTTTTAGATGGGAGTCTCACTCTGTCACCCAGGCTGGAGTGCAGTGGCGCAATCTGGCTGCAACCTCTGCTTGCCAGTTTCCAGCAATTGAGACTACAGGCATGTGCCACCATGGCCAGCTAATTTTTTGTATTTTTAGTAGAGATGGAGTTTCACCATGTTGGCCAGGCTGGTCTTGAACTCCTGACCTCATGATCTGCCCGACTCAGCCTCCCAAAGTGCTGAGATTACAGGAATGAGTCACAGTGCCCACTGTGAGTCCCTCATAAACATGTACTAAAACAACAATGAAGCACCTGTTAGTGTTTGTCACGTACTAAGTGATTTACATGTAAAAATCTTTTCTGAAACAATCATACTATAGGTTAGGTATTACTACTGTTACCCTACTTAACAAACAAGAAATCTGAGGCTTAGAAAGGGTAGGCAGCTATTTAAGGGGAAGAGAGAGAAAGTCAGCTGAGCTCGGACTCATAGGCAGGTTGTTCAGACCCCAGAATCTCTGCTGCCACTCCTGAGACAATCAGGACACGTCCTGAAGGGGCCCAGGCTGGACACACTAAGTGCCATAAGAGCTCAGAACCAGGGAAAGGGCACTGTGCTGTGGATGCCCCCAAGTGGCAGGCCAAGAGGGAGCTGGAGCAAGTGAAGAGGCACAGATGAGGGGCTGCCCTGACTGGGGGTCCCATGGTCCGAGGAGAAGGGAGAAGATCTGGAGGTTGGGGCAGGGGTGCAAATATGCACACACGCAAAGGTTCTTGCCCAGAGGTGTGCTATGAGGAATGTGGTACTGTTGGTGGATCAGCACAACTAAACAAGGAAGACCAGGCAGGAGGTCCTGTCCTTAGCCAGGTGGGCCAGGGTGGGAACAGACGGAGCAGAGAGGAAGGAGTGAACAGGAGCGGCTGCGATGAATCTGTCCCTGACCAGCAAAGCCATCTCTATCTTGCGGCTGGCAGGGACTTTCTCCTGGGCATCTTGGTAAAAGACTGGTGAGGAGTTAGTTACAAGCTAAGCAGGGCTGCGAGTGGATGTGAAGGCCCCAAATTAGCTGTTACCATCTCTGGGAAGTAGCACAAAGTGAGCTTTTCATCTGCTGAAATGCTGTTTATGAGGCAGTAAAATCTAGAGCCAAGACGCATGAATGTATCCTGGTTAGGGTAATACTCTTCTAGGCAAGCAGCTGTGTGAAAAATGCTTAGGAAAACCATCTAAAAAGGTAGACAAGCTGCATTGGCCGGGAATCGAACCCGGGCCTCCCGCGTGGCAGGCGAGAATTCTACCACTGAACCACCAATGCTTCAGCTGGCAGGGAGGTTTTTAGTTGAGGCCAGAACCCACAGGATGAAGTGGTTCTTTTCCAGCGGGACTGACTTCTTGCCACATAAGCAGAAAGTTGGGTTCTAATTTAGGAGAATAGACACTGACTTTTTTTTTTTTTAATTGAGATCTAACTCACATAACATAAGATTTCACATAACAAAAAATTCTCCATTTTCAGGTGTTCAACCAGGTAGTTTCTATTACATTCACAAACTTGTGCATCCATCCCTTTTATTTAATTCTAGAACATCTCCATCATCACCCCCAAAAGAAACCAGGCATCTCTAAGTAGTCAGTCCCAATTCTTCCTTTTCTTCAAACCCAGGCAACTATTATTCTGACTATGGATTATGAGGCACCGTGAACTTCAAACAGAGCACAAAGTTGTATAAGCTGTATGATCCTAACTGTGTGTGTGTATGTGTGTGTGTGTGTGTGTGTGTATATATATATATATAAAACTGGAAAAAATAGGCCAAAATTTGAATATTCATTGCCTCTTGGGGACAGTCTTATTTCTTTGCATTTTCCTCTACTTTCCAAATTTTCTAAAATGAGAATTAGAAAACAAAAATCAAACACTCATATTTCAGTGTATCTCTGAATCTTCTAGTTTCTCCCAGTAAGAAAGCTCCTCACTTGGAAGGCCCACACTAGCTTGTCTCTCCAAGTTAACTTATTTCTCCAAGTTTTCTTTTTCCAGGAGCTGCCAAAAGGTTTTCAGCTGCTGCATTGGCCGGGAATCGAACCCGGGCCTCCCGCGTGGCAGGCGAGAATTCTACCACTGAACCACCAATGCTCCAGCTGAGGGTTGCTCTGCCTCCAGCTGTTTTGCTGCTCTGGCTCACAGTGGTGATGGAACAGCTGTAAC